TTAAATAGTATCTTAATATGGTTAGTATTTTGTGATTACCCATTTATTATCATGTGATATCTATGAGTTATGACCCCTTGCATTGATATATTTTATTTTATTTATGAACAACCCCCATTGTGTTGATATTTATTTTTATATTTATACATTTATAATTATGTTTTTATCTATGGGTAACCCCCCCCCACCCTTTTTGCCGTGGTATTAATAAGTATCTATTTTAAAACAATAATCTTTAATATGTTTTAACTTTATACCTTTATATTTTGAGATGCACCTACACTATGGATGATTTTTAGCCATAGATATTGTACAGCATATGTAGCTGCACACTTACTCATCCTCAGTGTTAATATACAGCTGTCATTGATGCAGTCTTATCTGGTTGATTAATAACAGTGTTAACACCTGTCTCCTCCTATAATGGGAAGTATATGAATTTTTATCTACGGCAAAATGGCGCCCACGGCGGAGTCGCGCATGCGCACTCCGCGGTCTTTGGCAAAATGGCGGCGCCGCAGTGCGCACGCGCGAGCGACGCTCCACATTATAAATCGAAAGGACGTCAGTCATGCTTCTGTTGGTATCCCCTCTGATGATGTGCTTGGGCACAAAAGGCCTTAGGAGGAACCGACAGAGCATGATGTCATATCCGCCCAGAGCCACGAGGTAGCCCGGCAGCCATTTTAACTAAGGGGCAGTATCATTGCTGCACACTCTGCATTGTTAATACAGTTATTGAAGCTCTATACTACCCTGTATTCACTCATTTTCTGCTAATAAATATTTAAAACCTACTACACTATGGGCACCTGTTTTTTAGCTCCTGTTTGGAGCTAATTAACTCGCAGGACACCTGTAGTCTGATCCACTACCACCAAAGGGAGGGAGCCCTGGATCCAGGCTGAGCATCCTACCATCCTTAAGGGGACCTCTGGACCTAGCAATAGATTCTTCCAGGCAGGACGATCCATAGACGGAAGCTCACTTATTTCACCTACCATAAAGATTACAGTGGATATTGATTATATGCGCATTATCCATGAGCGTCCGGTGAGTGCGCATTTCTATCATTGGTTCCTGCTCTTATTAGTTATCCTGGAATTCTGATATAGAAGTGGATGAACAACATTATTATCATTTACAAACTATTCTTTTTGTACTTATTTTACTCACTTTAGCGCTGCACTTTGTTCTTTTGATGCAACTCAGCATTCTCTCTCCTCCAAACACGACGAGTTGTGTTTTCTACCAAACAGTTCTATTTTGGTTTCATCTGACCATATGACATTCTCCCAATCCTCTTCTGGATCATCCAAATGCTCTCTAGCAAACTTCAGACGGGCCCGGACATGTACTGGCTTAAGCAGGGGGACACGTCTGGCACTGCAGGATCTGAGTCCCTGGCGGCGTAGTGTGTTACTGATGGTAGCCTTTGTTACGTTGGTCCCAGCTCTCTGCAGGTCATTCACTAGGTCCCCCCGTGTAGTCCTGGGATTTTTGCTCACCGTTCTTGTGATCATTTTGACCCCACGGGGTGAGATCTTGCGTGGAGCCCCAGATCGAGGGAGATTATCAGTGGTCTTGTATGTCTTCCATTTTCTAATTATTGCTCCCACAGTTGATTTGTTCACACCAAGCTGCTTGCCTATTGCAGATTCAGTCTTCCCAGCCTGGTGCAGGTCTATAATTTGGTTTCTGGTGTCCTTCGACAGCTCTTTGGTCTTCACCATAGTGGAGTTTGGAGTGTGACTGTTTGAGGTTGTGGACAGGTGTCTTTTATACTGATAACAAGTTCAAACAGCTGCCATTGATACAGGTAATGAGTGTGGGACAGAGGATCCTCTTAAAGAAGAAGGTACAGGTCTGTGAGAGCCAGAAATCTTGCTTGTTTATAGGTGACCAAATACTTATTTTCAACCATAATGTGCAAATAAATTCTTTCCAAATCAGCCAATGTGATTGTCTGGATTTTTTTTTTTCTCTTTTTGTCTCTCATAGTTGAGGGCTACCTATGATGCCAATTACAGGCCTCGCTCATCTTTTTAAGTGGGAGAACTTGCACAATTGGTGGCTGACTAAATACTTTTTTGCCCCACTGTATATATAAATAGAGAGAGCAATAACACAACAGAGAGATAAAAGAAAGAAATTTGAGAAGGTAGGATACTTGCAGAAGTCCTTGATTTAAGCAGAGCTCAAGTGTCCTGAACAAAAGGGTACCTTTTCTCCCAAAGATGGTTCCTCATGTTAAAAGGGAGAATCTCTTCAACCCTCTCTCCAGGCATGACAGCCTTTTCTAGTGTCCCAGCAGGGGGTGTCTACTGAAGCCAAGGGACAATCACCTCATTTGGGGAGGGGTGTTAGGCGGAAACCCAGGCTGTGACCCAAATCCCTCCCAAGTTTATACCATGGTCAATAGCCTTCCATAGGTACATGTTGCAGCCTAGCCACTGGTAGATTAATATGCAGAATCATATATCTGAACGTCCAGACACCAAATATGACATATCCGGCTGTGACGGATAAAAAGATAATGCTTTCTACTCTCTGGTAGACGTTACCTAGGGGTGTAAGGTATCAGGTGACTTGTATTAAAATGACATATCTGAATATATGCTTTGTTTTAATGTACCTTGTTCCTGTCGGGATTTATGAATTTGTATGAAAAAGTGTGTCAAGTGGGATGTACGTTTTACTGCCACTCCGGAATGCTTTTCATGTCCAGTGACTGACTGATTTATAGCTTTACGACCAGGCCAAGGCAAGAGTCTGACAGACATCACGGGACCAGCTAATTGGGTTTACAACCATGAAGCGTATCCAGCTGTGTCTGATGCACTTGTAACCCCAGCATATACACACACCACATGCCATTCAAAAAAGGGAGGGGAAAGACTGAACGGAGTGAGAATGACATTTGCAGAGTATGATACAAGATGGTAGATCTTAACAAAATGGTTGTCCGCGTCCAATCGCCACAGGCAATAGTTGGAGAGATTGGGGTAGAGAGTTCCAGAGGATGGGGAGGCTCTGGAGAAGTCTTGGAGATGAGCATGGGAGGAGGAGACAAGGGAGCTAGAAAGAAGGAGGTTGTGGGAGGAGCGGAGAGGACAGTTTGGGTGATATATGGGGACAAGATTGGTGATGTAATTTGGGGCAGAGTTATAAATGGCTTTATATATGTTATTGTTAATATTTTGATTGTATTAATTGGGCAACAGGAAGCCAGTGGAGGGATGGCAGACATGAATGGTTGGTAAGGTGGATGAGTCTGGCAGCAGCATTCATGATAGACTGAAAAGGGGATAGCCTGCGATTAGGTAGGCCAATGAGGAGGGAGTTATAATAGTCAAGGTGAGACAGGGGCGGACTGAAAACTGGATCATGGGGCCCCTGTATCCTTGCCCACAGTCAAAGCACACCCAAAAAAGCCTATAAATGGTACCAGGGGCATTTCATGGGGCCCCCTACTGACCCAGGTCCCTCGGGCAGTGCCCGAGTGCTCAAATGGTCAGTCCGCCCCTGGGTGAGAGGTAACAAGGGAGTGAATAAGTTGCTTAGTGGTATCAATGGTTAAAAAGGGGTGTATTTTGGAGATGTTGCAGAGGTGAAGTCTACAAGATTTGGACAGTGATTGGATTTGGGGCTGAAAGGACAGATCAGTGTCTAGGATTACATCTAGTACCCTGGCATGAGGGGAGGGATTGATGGTTGTATTATTCATCTTGATGGAGAAGTCAGGGGAGGGGGCACGGGCTGGAGGGATTATCAGTTTGGTATTAGAATGAGTCTGATTGTGTCTTTGTTAGCTTTTAGGTTGTGCTAGTACAGTACTTGTTTTGTCTTTGCAAAGATGCTGCTGGTTGTAATTGTGTTCATTTGTTTTTGATTGAACTTCTGTAAGTACGATCAGTATCTTACTATTGTTCTAATATTGTAAATCTTGGTAGAAAGTTTTTGTGCAGTATGTTGTGAGTGCTTGAGACTAATTTAGAGGAGAAAAAGGTATAAATTCAGTCCTGAGTATACAGAATATGTTGACCTACTGAGAAGATATAACAGAGGAAGGGAAACCAGAACACAACACAGCAAAGCAGAAACGTGAACTGAAATCTAAATACAAACTATAATGGTTTGGGTCAGTTTCTATTGCAAGTGTTCACAATTATGTACAGTAGTTATTATACCTGTTTTTCCATATTCTAAATCATGATTTCATAGTACAAATAATAATGTAACCGTTTAATTGCTTTCACTGTAAATATTACAGCAGAGCAGTAATGGAATAAAATGTTTTTACTTTAATCAACTTGAGTGCTTTTAGGCATGGTTCACACCAATGCATTTGTTTGTGCTTTTTGCAGAAATGCACTACAGTTCATTTAACATGGTTTCCTGTGGGACACATTCACATCAATGCTTTTTTAAGCAACTGTGTTTTGGAAAGGATCAAGGACTTTTTTAAACACAAAAAGGAAAGTTTTTTTGCGACAGTAGCATTCAGTGGAGAAACTGCTGAAACACATGTAGTGCGATTTTGTGTTTTTATTCTGCTCAGCAACAAAAACATTTCCCCTTTTAACAAAAATAAAGATGAAAAAATGCAAAACGTGGCATAAATGCACATGTAAAAGCGCGAAGCAAAATGCAAAAAGCATTGCAAAAACAGACCACAAGCAAACTGCATTGGAGTGAACCAAGCCTTAACCACTAGCCTACAGGGCACTTATACCCCCTTCCTGCCCAGGCCAATTTCCAGCTTTCAGCGCTGTCACACTTTGAATGACAATTGCGCGGTCATGCAACACTGTCCCCATATGACATTTTTTATCATTTTTTGGTGACAGAGCTTTATTTTGGTGGTATTTAATCACCTCTGAGTTTTTTATTTTTTCTGTCTGATCATTTCTGTAGGCTAAGATTGGCTTCACCCAACATCTGAACCCCCCTCCCACATACATTATATTGCCAAAAGTATTGGGACACCCCTCCAAATCATTGGATTCAGGTGTTCCAATCACCTCCATGGCCACAGGTGTATAAAATCAAGCACCTAGGCATGCAGACTTCTTCTACAAACATTTGTGAAAGAATGGGTCGCTTTCAGGAGATCAGTGAATTCAAGCATGGTACCGTGATAGGTTGCCACCTGTGCAATAAGTCCATCCGTGAAATTTCCTTGCTACTAAATATTCCACGGTCAACTGTTAATGGTATTATAACAAAGTGGAAGCAACTGGGAACAACAGCAACTCAGCCACCAAGTGGTAGGTGTCACAAGTTAGCTTACAGCCTCTTGTGTGTTTACTCTTACCTCCTTGCTGCTCTTGATTCCTTCACATGTGTGTTTGTCCTGCTCACCTGTGGGCATCATCTGCTATTCCCTGGGTTTTATGTCCTTCCCTTTCATCACTTCCTGGGCCGCCTGCTGGCTGGCTTGTCTATTTAAGACATGCTCAGTGTGTCCCGCTTTGCCTGAGCAACTTTGTGTTGTTAGAGCTCCCGTGTGGTTCCTCTGTGAATCCTGTGTTGTGTATCTGTGCACTGACCCCGGCTTCGTTCCTGACCCTGCTTGTTTTCCGCCTGTCCTGACCCCGGCTTGCCCATTGGATTCCCTGTGTCTTCTCCCTTTGTACCCTGCTCCCACTAGCGGTCTCCTCCACCTCAGCTGGGTGTACCTGGGGGCCACTCTGCGCCCTGGGGAATCCCAAATGGTGGACCTATAGAGCTCACTACCATAGGCGTGACAGTTTGCTCAGGCATGAGCTCTTTGGAGCCTGTTCTAGAACAACTTCAGGCTTTGGCGCTGAGAGTCGAGGTCCAGCAGGCCTTGGAAGAACAAATCATGCACTGTCTGCAGGAACTCTCCTCCCGGTTGGATCAGCTACAGGTTGTGTCCACTTCCTCACCCTCTATTTTGGCCCCGGCTCTGGCTGCTCCACCTTCTGCTGTTCCCCCAGTGGAACACTGTCCTTCGAGAGTCCAGGTGCCTCCACCGCCTCACTTCTCTGGTGATCCCAAAGCTTGTCGGGGCTTCATCAATCAGTGCTCAATTCACTTCGAGCTAGCACTATTTTTCAACTGATCGTTCCAAGGTGGTGTATATGATTTCCCTCCTATCTGATGCAGCACTGGCTTGGGCCTCGCCACTGTGGGAGCGACAAGATCCAACTATTTGCAGCCTCCCAGCCTTCCTGCAAGCTTTCCGAAAGACATTTGATGTGCCCGGCAGGACTTCATCTGCCGCAGGAGCTCTTCTTCGGCTTCGTCAAGGTAGCAGGACTGTTGGACAATATGCAGTTCTGTTTCGCACCTTAGCCTCGGAACTGGCATGGAATAATGAGGCCCTCTCTGCAACCTTTTGGCAGGGTCTACCAGACCGTATTAAGGACAAACTAGCTGGAAGAACCATACCAACTCCCTGGATGACTTGATTGCTCTTAGCATCCAGATCGATATCCGCTTCCAGGAGCAAGATCTGGAAAGGGCTCATCCACGTCGCCCTCCAGTGGGTTCTCTTGCTCCTGGTTTCCAGATAGTCCCTGATCAACTTACCTCTGCAACCGTACCGACGTCTGAAGAGCCCATGCAGTTAGGCCGAACACACCTTACTCCACAAGAGCGATCGTGTCGCCTAAGATTTGGTCTATGCCTTTACTGTTTGGCTGAAGGTCATCTAATTAAGTCTTGTTCTGTCCGACCACCTCGCATTGTACCCATGGCTGTGGCCACCACCTCTCCGATGCTCCCTCAACAATGCCAGACCTTACAAGATGTTTCTTGTAGTAAGGCTGCTCCCCTGCCTACTCCTACTGTGGGCCCCCTTCCGGTGCTGTCCATCTCTAGTTCCTTACCCTCTTTGCTGCCCAAATCTTTGGTCCCTTTATATATGTTGCAGCTCAGAGCTCCTATATCGCGACCTTCTGGATGAGTGGAGGTCCCAACATCTGTGACCTCTGTACCATCTGAGTTCCCAGATTCATGTGCTCTGCATGCTGAGACCCCAAAACTCCCTTCAGCAGCTTTGGATCCAGCCGTGGTTTCCACATTAGTAGCTACTGTACCCTCTGTCCCCTGTCCTGCCCCCATGTATCCTAAAGTGCCCTCTGTTCCTTGAATCACCCCAGGTTCCTGTTCTGCACAGCCTGGTTTGCCCACTTTACAAATCAAAACCTTCACAACTACTCCTGTGCCCTCCCTAGCACCCTCCTCACCAGACCCTTCATCCTGGTTATTGGTGTCTGCTCCTGCCCAGCTTCCTGTCGTGTGTTCTCCTATTCTTACTCCTTCTGAGGCAAATGTTTTCAAGAGCTTACATCAGTCAGCTCCTAAGTACAAAGTAGCTGCAGATTGTCATCACCGGGTGAGTCCCAAATATTTCCCGGGTGACAAGGTTTGGCTCTCTACCAAGAGTATCCGTTTACGGGTACCCTTTATGAAATTTGCTCCTCGGTTCATTGATCCCCTTACTATCCTTCGCCAGGTCAATCCTGTTGCTTTCAAACTCCGCCTCCCTTCACATCTGAGAATCCCTAATGTTTTCCATGTTTCTCTTCTGAGACCGTATATCATCAACAGATTTTCCTGTCCTCATCATCATTCTTCCCCAATAGCGAGTACTTCGGATCAGTATGAAGTCAAGCAAATCTTGGATTCTAAATTCATCAGAGGGAAGCTCTTGTATCTAATTGACTGGAAGGGATATGGTCCTGAGGAGAGGTGTTGGATTCCTTCTACTGATGTTTCTGCCCCCCGTCAGGTGGAAATATTTCATCAGAGGTCTCCCCTTAAGCCTAGCCCTAAAAAAGTGGGGAGACCTCGTAAGAGGGGGGGTACTGTCACAAGTTAGCTTGCAGCCTCTTGTGTGTTTACTCTTACCTCCTTGCTGCTCTTGATTCCTTCACGTGTGGTTGTCTGTGCTCACCTGTGGGCGTCGTCTGCTATTCCCTGGGTTTTATGTCCTTGCCTTTCATCACTTCCTGGGCCACCTATTAGCTGGTTCGTCTATTTAAGACATGCTCAGTCTGTCCCACTTTGCCTGAGCAACTTCGTGTTGTTGGAGCTCCCGTGTGTTTCCTCTGTGAATCCTGTGCTGTCTATCTGTGCACTGACCCCGGCTTCGTTCCTGACCCTGCTTGTTTTTCGCCTGTCCTGACCCCGGCTTGCCCATTGGATTCCCTGTGTCTTCTCCCTTTGTACCCTGCTCCCGCTAGCGGTCTCCTCCACCTCAGCTGGGTGTACCTGGGGGCTGCGACCTGGTCCCAGCCTGCTGCAAGTCCATCCCCACCATCAGGGGCCCTGGTGAACAAGCAGGCTAGGGCTTAGACTCCGCGTCCTGGGGAACCCCAAGCTGTGGACCTATAGAGCTCACTACCATAGGCGTGACAGAAGGCCACGTAAAATGACAGAGCGGGATCAGCACATGCTGAAGCGCACAGAGTCTATAGCTAAAGACCTCCAAACTTCATGTAGCCTTAAGATTAGCACAACAGTGCGTAGAGAGCTTTATGGATTGGGTTTTCATGGCCGAGCAGCTGCATCCAAACCTTACATCACCAAGTGCAATGCAAAGCGATGGATGCAGTGATGTAAAGTACGCCGCCTCTGTACTCTAGAGCGGTGGAGGCGTGTTCACACTTCTGTTTGACAATTCGATGGACATGTCTGGGTTTGGCAGTTGCCAGGAGAATGGTACTTGCCTGACTGCACTGTGCCAAGTTTAATGTTTGGTGGAGGGGGGATTATGGTGTGGGGTTGTTTTCCAGGGGTTGGGCTTGGCCCCTTAGTTCCAGTGAAGGGAACTCTTAAGGCATCAGCATACCAATTTCATACTCCCAACTTTGTGGAACAGTTTGGGAATGGCTCCTTCCTGTTCCAACATGACTGCACACCAGTGCACAAAGCAAGGTCCATAAAGACATGGATAAGAGTGTTTTGGGGTGGAGGAACTTGACTGGCCTGCACAGACGTCTGACCTCAACCCGACAGAACACCTTTGGGATGAATTAAAGTGGAGACTGCAAGCCAGGCCTTCTCATCCGACATCAGTGCCTGACCTTCTGGAAGAATGGTCAAACATTCTCATGGACACACTCCTAAGCCTTGTGGACAGAATTCCCAGAAGAGTTGAAACTGTTATAGCTGCAAAGGGTGGACCAACTCAATATTGAACCCTACAGACTAAGACTGGGATGCCATTAATGTTCATGTGCCTGTACAGGCAGGCGTCCCGATACTTTTGGCAATATAGTGTATTTCCCAGGCACATCTACAGTTCATTTAACATGATTATCCTATGGGACACGTTCACATGCTTTTTTGAGCAGCTGTGTTTTTGAAGAGAAAAAAGAAGAGTTTTTGCTTCAATAGAGTTCAGTTAGAAGCTGCTGAAACACATGTAGTACAAAAACAAAAGCCGAAAAAATGCAAAACACGGTATAAATGCACTAAATGCAAAAAGCATTGCAACAAAGGATCAAAAGCAAACGACTTTGGTGTGAACCAGGCCTCAAATAGAAGGTAAAGCTGTCTGATCACTTCTATAGGCTTAGATTGGCTTCACCCAACATCTGAAACCCCCCCTCGCACAAATTTCCCAGGTACATCTGTGTCCTGTGGAAGCCTGGCTGCTATCAGTATGGTAAGGTGTGCAGAAGAACAAGCAGCATCCCTTCCCTGATCTCTCCTGTGATCAATGAACCTGAAAGTGCTAAGCTCTGAGCACTTCAGGATTAAGAGCTACCAGATCCTGCCAGTAAACCGCAGACTGCGGGACCCTTTGTTGGTCAGGCACAGTGAGCAGACACCAGGGCTCTATTAAAGTTAATCTGTCTGGAGAACCGCCAGTTTAACACCTGTGTTGTAACCCATTCCCCTACAGACTTCCATCCTCTTCTCCTAATTTCCATTCTCTGAAAACTTTCTTAATCTCCCTTCCTTTTCCTGGGATTTATTATTGCTTATATCATCAGTTTTTCCAAAAACCTTCCTCTCCCTTTTCCCTACTTTTGTTGTCCAGACCTACATGTTCAATTAGTGGTCTTGACTATCTATCCCTCATCATGGGCCCATAAAGAGGCCTTCATGCATCATGTTCTGATAGGCCTTGTGTGTTTACTATTGTTATTTGATTATTCTACCCTTACTGTCTATTATGTCTATCAGATTACCTGCATGACCATGGCTGTTGTTCCTTTTTAAACCAATAACAACGATTACAAAAAAACCCAACAAACTATAATACATTTTTTAAAAATGTAAATGATCCTTGTGTAAGCCTAATATAATTGTGTGTACATAAATGATATTTGTGGTATATAAACTAGGTATCATCTCACATGCCAGAGTAAGAGGAAAAATGCCAGGGCAATCATTTAAACTTTAAACTACAGTGATGAGCTGTAAATGATGTTAAAGTGTTGCCAATAGTACAATTTTGAGCTTGTTGCCACTTTACAGGTACAGTATATACAGTTTAGTGGCTTGACATATTTGGTATCTATTTACTAGACACAGTATCACCTTTTTATATATAACAAAAAACAAAGAATATATTCACATTTTTGTGTGTCACTCTATAGCCAAAAGTGGTGGTAGCACCATCTTGGAACACCATTCTCGCTGTCTCAACGAGCACTGGAAGTGACGCCACCACCGCCATATTGGAAATCCTAGGCACAGGGAAACACGCTGCAGGGGAAGACAGCAGATCAGGATGCCACCAATGGCCCACAAAACGGCCATCCTCTTCAGCAGGTATTCAGCCATGCCCACTGCCAGGAACACAGCTGTGGGGAAGCCACCAGAGCTTCCAGGGTCTGTACAACCATTTTATGGAGAAGCAAGGTCCAGGTGAAAAAAAAAAAAGGAAAATGAAGAAACCTCTCAGCTCTGTAAAACTACTAGGACCATACCCACAAGTAGGCCAGTAACACTGGGAGGAAAGCAGGTAACCACAGATACCCACTCAGAGAAAATGGTAAACGGACGATGTGTTTCAGAAACACAATAACAACTGGGGACGAGGGGGAAGGAAAGGACTTTTCTGGTATTGCTTCCTGTAGAGGCAGAGCCAGTATCTCCCAAGTAGCCACCCTGGAAGACCCTTTGGTAAATTATATTAAAGTGTAGACAATAGGAACATTTTGGAATTGCAGCTTTACAGGTGTATACATTTTAGTTGCTTTACATATTCACTATCTGCTTACTTGACAGTCTTATCTTTTATATATAACAGAAAATGTGAAAATTGTGTTTGTAGTTTGTTTTTTCAGGATGGTGAGTGATCCTCTTACTTTTTGTGTACCTGTACACGTTGCTTTGAGCACTTCTGGATTCATGGCTGCCAAATTCTTGCTGCTGGTGGCCAGGAATGTAGAAAAAAAAAAAAACAACAACCACTGTCTGTACTTGATTTGTTTGCAAGCAGTGCACGGGAGACATCAGAATTCTAAAAGAGCCCTTATGTCTCCCTAAAGAGGACCTATCACATAAAATGTACTATTACAAAATAAAAAGAGATTATAAAGGACCTCCACCCCCCACAATGCATGCACATACTCATGCATACACACGTAGGATGTTTTTATGTAAGCAGATATAACGTAACACATTCGGTGTGGCTGCCACTCAACACAATCTTGCCTTTTTAAAGTTTGCAAATTTATTGAAAGTCTATTTTTTACAGAAAATGTATGTTTGAAAAAGAGATTGCATCCATCAGGGCGGATGGCAATGGATTGGATCCTTTAATGGCTCTCTGATGACATTATGACAAAAGGTCTGGAACGTGGCTTGGAGGGAAGGAGAGAAAGGGAGAGGGCGCTAACAATACACGCTTACATGGAAGGATCCATTCCTTTGCCATCTGCCCTGACGGTTGCAGATGTGACCTATTTAAAGCTTTATATGTCTGGTCTTACTACATGTGAGAGGCTATTTCTATGGGGTTTTTTTTTTTTTAAATAAAAGAGCAGTGATCACTATATATATATATATATATATATATATATATATATATATACACACTGTATATATATATTCTCATTGTCTTTTCACATGTAAATAAACACTGAACCATCTATCCAGCAACCTGAGCTGTTGAGGTTCTCTAAGAGTTAGAGTCCTTGCTAATTAAGAAGGAAAGGAGTCCATCTGATGTTGTAGCACATATTGAACCTTTCTTGTAGGGGCCAATACAGAGAGGTGAGAGTTTGCCCATAAGGGATTCTCCAGGGTGGAGGTGTTTTCTACTTGCACTTTCTTGCAGCACTTACCTGAGAGTGATATATAGCACAAGTTGTTTGGGACTGCTACATTCATGATTATATGGATGTTTTCTGTTTTATTTATGATTGGTTGATAGTTTTTTCCAAATAATTGATGAATGCTGAAATCACATAGAACGCAATAAATTACTGGTAGCACAGCATTTACTCTTTTATATACATTCACTTTACCTAACCAGGGGTCAACAACCAGTAGATTGCTGTCTGAGCTTGCTGACCCGCCATCCCAGAGCATCAGAGTGCAATGCAGAAGGACTACTTGTGAAGTTGGAGCTGTAGTAGGGAGGAAGTGCCACATAAGCTGATGCCTCTTGTGTAGTGCTGGTGCCTGTCCCTTGTGGAGTGATACCAACTGAAGTCCACCTCCCGGCTAGTGGTCACCAGAGTGGTGCCAGCAGCAGCAGGAAAGGAGATCTTGAAGCAGGCACTGCTGCTCCTCTGAAAAGCTATCTGAGTGTGTTTGACAGCTGCCTTCTCACTACCTGAGTGAAACCCATGATTGTTGTGCAATGCACTCGATTGGGACACAGTAGAACAGCAATTATAAGTTTAAATCAGGTGTGAGGAAGTGACACTGTGCCCGGTGATCTTTGACTTCTTGCATGTTGTTCAGGTAGATCTACACCTTTTTAAGGTTGCCTACTACTGCATGCTTGCAGCTTTAATTATTCACACACTTGTGCGCAGATAATCACACAATTTTTTTACACTGCAGCCATAGATCATGGGTGCAATGGCTGGATCCTGCAGACACTCAGTACACTGTCTGCCTGTAAATCCCGTACAGGCAGGCAGTTATTGTATAGCAGGAAGAATCAACGGTCTACGAGAGTCCTCGCCAGGATTGTTGTAGTTTATTGAGAACTACAAGCTGTTGGCCATGGAGGCCAAAGGTACTTGTAGAACTCTGTGAATGAATGATGTGGCTGTGTGGGTGGAGCCCCACATGGCTACGCTGTATTTAAATTCTAACAGTGGGTGCGGGCAGAAAATCCCCTGGCTGCTGTCACAGGGAGGGTGGATGGGGGTGAGAGGAGGCAGGAGCTGGAACACGTTACATGTACCACCCTAAATACAGGTGGAACATGTATCATATTCCAAAGGTGAACTTATCCCTTGAGTCTTGACTGGCTTCTTTCAGATGAACTGCCTGAAAGCCTTGAAACTTCTTTCATCCATCTAAAACAATACATTGCAAAATATTAAGTGCCTTTGTGTGAATCCATACCTCCCAACTGTCCCTCATATAGAGAGACTGTACCTCTTAGTTATACCTTACTTTGGACAGATGTGTAGACCTCTTGTCAGTTAACTATTAA